TGTCAAGTACCGGCGTGGGTCTCCCCTTCTCCTTCGGTCACCTGATCCCTCGCCGCCCGGAATGGCGGCGTTCACCTAATAGTGTCCCCCAGGGAAAAATTTGAAGGACTGTCACTTGACCACCCATATCTAGAAGTGCTGGGTACTTCACTTCACTGGATAAAAATTTACATTTTCCTTTTTTCTGCTTGCATAAAAAAAGGGTCACTTTAATAGGATAAAATTACAAGTCATAACTGTAGCATTTAAAGAGTTATTAGGAAGTGATTTGACCACAGAAAGTAATTTTCTTTGTGATATTAACACATAGGATATTATTGTGTATGTGGTATGACTCATTATGCATGCCCACCTCTGTATGAGAACAGTAGAATCATAAACTACTTCATATATGTAGCAAAACAGCCAAAATAATTTATAGTGAGGAGTAAAAAAAAATGAGTGGTATACTTGTGTCTTTTTCTTATTTTTTTCTAATCTTCTCTTTTATCACAGCTTTATTGAGGTTTTATTTGCAAGATTCACACATAGTCTTAATGTAACACAAGCTCCAGCTGTCAGAAGCAGGCTGTCCGCCGGCCAATGAAACGAAGGGGTCCTGGGGCCGAAGCTAGCTGAAGGATCGGCCGAAGATACGGCTAGATCCTTCGGCTGCTTCGTGAATAGACCCAATCACTAAAATCTCTTAAGATCTTTAACATGTCAATGTAATTTCAAAAGTTATTGTTAATATTTTAAAATCTTTCAATAAAATAATATCTGGCGGTCCTGCCTTGTTCAGACACTTGTCACCCTGTGATAGTGTGACAATGCTCCTTTCCCTGTCTCCCATTTGTTCTCCTGCATTGTCACTCTCCCAAATGCTTTTTCAATGGAGACTGCAGGCAATGTTGCTGGTGCACATTGGATAGGCATGTTCCACTGTCACCACTACGAAACCCTCTCTGAGAAATGACGAGCAGCAGTTGCTAGAGTGCATACTTGTAGACAGAAAGTGGCTGTAAAAGAGAAATCAGCAGCAGTGGGATGCAACATAGTAGGGAAGCCAGGACACTTAATCCAGGAAAAATGTCTTGTCTCTATCACATGATGACATCGCAATGATTAATACAATCACAACTTCATGTTCAGTAAAAACATCATGACCAGGTGATCACTCCAATGTTTGTAAACAACTGGGGACACATGGTACTGTGGGTCCCCACATATGAATGAACAGGAAGTGCTTTAGATCACTTCCTGTGCATTCATGACTTTTTCATTGGGGAGAAGCACTCACTATAGTGGCTTCTACCCATTCAGAAACCAGTTGATAGTAAATATTTTACTATCACCAGTTTCTGAATGAATGGGAAGCCTCTATACTGAGTGCTTTCCATTCATTTAGAACAGAGGCTGCAGAAAAGGAGATTGGGAACTCTATTTCTTTTTCAAAAGGGAAATGTCAGGGATTTATTTTGAGACCCCTGATATTTCCCCTGAAGCAATTAAAAAATTAAAAATAATAATACACAACTCCCCCACACATATATTATACACATGGAACAGTGTGCACCATATTGTGGTGTATGCTATGCACATGCGCTGTGGTGCGTTGTTAGAACACAACACAGTGCTTAATTTTTTCTTTTTTCTGTTTTCAAAATTACATTAATTTAACTGTGGCAATGCGTGGCAAAAAAACGTTGTGACGCATTGCCGTACGTTGTGATACGCTGTGTTGCAATTAAATGTACACCTGTATCATTTTCTCACAACCCACAATACCAGCACAAACGATTTTTAACATAAGTTGCTTATTTACAGTTTTGTGTTACTTCATTTTTTTACCATTTCGCAAAAAGGCACAATTTAAAATTTACAAATATTTTTTATTTATTAACTCAATACAGTTTTATTTTTTGTAGATTTAGTCAGAAAAGTATTTTTATTTTGTGCGCTGATACTGATGTTAGTGTGCTTTTTATCAATTTAATCTTGTATTTTTATCGGTTTAACATTGATTTGACAAACATTTGCGCAATTATCGCAGGACCTACAAAATTAGTAGCACCATCTTTTTATTCTACCGAGCCTGTGCTTTCAGAAAATATTTGGTTTGGGGGGCCTTTTACAAACTCTAGCAGCACAGCAGTAAAAAATCAAAACAATGGGAAAAATTGCAAAAATTATGTGGCCAGCTAAGGTTTAAAGCGTTTCAATGGGCTTGGCAGCAACAGTGTTAAGACTTCCTGTATCCATTAATGCTCGAGAAAGAAAATAGGACTTTTGGGTATTCACCATAGAATCCTTTACATGTAGTCCATTGAGGGACATAGCTCCCACCCCTCTGTATTTATAATCATGCTCTCGGTACTACCTTTGCTACAAAACATAGGCAGACTGGTTATGGGCAGGGTTATCCATTATTGGATTACAGTTGGTGGCAGTACAACCCAATAACTTAATCACTTGCTGTCCGGAGCAATTTCTTACTATTAGCAAACACATGATAACATCTGAATTTTGGCTAGAAAACAGCTGAACACCCCCAACAATTATATATTTTTTGAAAGCAGAGGCCCTGTAGAATAAAAAAAATGCTAGTTGCAATTTTTTATGTTGCACGGTATTTGCGCAAATGTTTATCAAACCAGTATTTTTAGGATACAATACACTAAAATGAAATTTAGTGCACAGAAACAGAATAGAATACCTATTTTTTGGTAAAATATAAAAGACAGTGCCACGTTAGGTAAATAGATACCAAACATGTCAAGCCTTAAAATTGTGTTCGCTTGTGAAACCGCAAAAACTACAATACCAAGAATTTCCCATAGACGATGCTTTAAAAGTTTTTACCACTCATCAGTTTAGTGATAACAGTGATTGATGGCCCTAGAATTATTGCTCTCGCTCTCACGTTTGTGGCGATATGTAACATGCGTGTCACAATTTTTGTTTTTGCACATAGGTGATTGTCACCTGGGCACCTTAAACAAACTAATGAAGCAGAGATCCCCACTAGGGAAGTCAGAAATGGAAAAGATTTGGGGTCATAGTAGACCACAGATTAAATAATGGCTTGCAATGCCAGGCTGCTGCAAACAAAGCGAGCAGAGTACTGTATTAAAAAGGGAATGTATTGTAGAGACAAATCTATCATTTTGCCACTTTATAGATCGCTATACTTTGTAGACCACAGATTAAATAATGGCTTGCAATGCCAGGCTGCTGCAAACAAAGCAAGCAGAGTACTGTATTAAAAAGGGAATGTATTGTAGCAACAAATCTATCATTTTGCCGCTTTATAGATCGCTGGTTTGGCCTCATGTTGTGTATGCGGTTCAGTTTTGGTCACGAGTTTTCTAAATTTAGACTTGTTCAAGCTGGAAAGGAGGTGATTAAGAGGGGATATGATTTCAATGTACAAAATGTTTGGTGGTGATGGCAACATCATCAATAAACTTTTTACTTTAAACTCCATAACAAGGACTAGAGGCCACCACCTAAAATTGGTAGAGAAAAGATTTAACCACAAACGGCGTAGGGCAGGGGCACCCACAATTTTTTCGTCTGAAGATCTACTTTTCAAATGACGAGCTCAATGAGATCTACCACTGAAAAAACACCTGCGTTCAGGGGCGGGAGGGGGCATGGCGGTGCATTGAAGTCAATGGCACTGCTGCCAAGCCCCTCGCCCACAGTGTGATTGCCTGCACCAGGGAACCCAGACACATTAGTGCCTGCGTTCCGGTCCGGTGCGATCAGCAAAATGCTGCAAGCACTATTTTTGCAGATCACACTGGACCGGAATGCAGGCACTAATGTGCCTGCTTTCCGGGTGCGGGTGATCGAACTGTGGGCTCGGGACATGGCGGGGGGCACGGCTGGGGGGACACACCCCGCCCCAAGTTCTTCACAGTAAGATCAGTTAGGGTCTGGAACTCACTGCCACAGGCGGTGATTTCAGCAAAGAATGTGGAATTGTTCAAGAAACTTTTGGACGATTTCTTAAGGGACCGTAATATACAGGGGTACAGGTACTCCTAGAATGAGATCCTAATAGGTTGGACTTGATGGACTAATGTCTTTATTCAACCTCAACCTCAAATACTATGTAACTATGTAACTATGTGTCCCTCAATGTACTTCAAAAATCTCAATTAACTACAAAAATCTAATTTTCTCTTCTCTGTACCATAGCACCATCTACAGATCGCAGACAGGATTTCCCAGAATCTGTTGGAGATACAACAGCATACTGATTGTGTTGCTGACTGTAACTATGTCTTTTTTACACTAGATGGCGCTGTAGTGCAAATCTAGTCAATACTAGGTTTTATATATGCATGCTTCTATCTATGATCTCTTTTTGTTTCCTGTTGATGCTGTATTTCTATATATTTGTATGCAACATTCTTATAAGCTAGTAAAACTTAAAAGAGAACTATGGGGTAAGTGTTTTTCCCCAAAGTTCTCTTAAGGGTCATGGGAGGACATATACTAACGTCCTCCGGTGACCCAAAAGATCTGAGTGGGGAGGGGGGAATTCCTGCAGGGAGCCGTGACTGATAGTCACTGCTCTCCACAGGGAAGATGATTGAGAAGTAAGCAAGCGACGGTATGTGTTCGCTCACGTCCCGATCTATTGAGCCAACGTGTGACAGTTTCATTGTCACACATCGGCTCAAACTATGAGGATTGAGTGATTTTCGCTCAACTCATAGTTCTCCTTTAATTCAGTATTCCTCAAGATCTCAGTGCTTCATCTAAACACATAGCTAATAGGTTATAGAACATAGAATCCTCCACCCAAAGACTGACAAAGTGACAATAACTCACAGTGTTTATTTCTATGAGAACCCAATCGCCTGAAACAATGATCCTGGGGAGTTGTGTAGTGAATTCAGCCAGTGAACAAGCAATGGAAGCTGAGCAAAGTGAAGCCACACAGGAATCAAAACAAGAGGGGGAACTCACAATGGACAAGTCAAATTCCATGTTAAATTCTGCTGAACAACTTGAAATTAGAAGATCCACTCGGTCAACAGAGGGAATACTACCCTGCAAGCTGTGATATACTGCTAAAACACAATCAGAAAGATTCAACCCAGGAACCAAGCACATTGATGTAAAGTATCTTCTGCTAAGGGACACTCAAGAGCACGGTATTATCGACATGCAATATTGCTCATCAGAAGAAATGACTGCGGACGCACTCACCAAGCCATTGCCAAAGGATTGCCAAAGTCTAGTCAATACTATTTTTCTATATGCATGCTTCTACCTATGATCTACATGTTTCTTGTTGATGCTGTATTTCTATATACATGTATGCAAAGCTCTTATAAGCAAGTAAAACTTAATTCAGCATTCCTCAAGATCCCAGTGCTTCATCATCAGTGCTCGTAGCCTAATCTCCATGCTCAAAAGCCAGCTCCAAACAATATCTTCAGCTGTGAAGCAGGCTGTTCTTCATGCTACACAGCAAGTATTCAGTACTGGGAGGGTGCTTTTCCAGGGTCGCCTCTGGAAAAGCACCTTGCCCCCATGCCGATGGGGACAAGGGCCTCTTCCCCACAAGCCCTGGGGTGTTGATTGTGGGGGTGCGGGCAGGGGGCTTATTCACATCAGGGTACCCCTTTAATAAAGGAGCACCCAGGTGAGGCCCCCCCTTGTGAATGAGTAATGGGTACTTGTACCCCTACCCATTCACTAAAGGGTTAAATAAAATTGTAAAAAAGAGGCCAGACGTTTGAAAAAATCCTTTATTTGAAAAAACAAACAAAAGTTTTTGACAAGTCTTTTATTTTAAAAACAAAAAAATGGATCCACCAACGTAATCCAATGTCAATCATGACACCCAGCATTGTCCATGACAACGACAACTCGACTAAATAAAAAATAAAACAATAAAAAATAAATAGAAATATTTTTTTTTTTAAATGACGACTGCCGTCCCGTCCACTCGTGACGAACACCCACCGCTGTTTACAGTTGTAACAGGTGAGCCATGATTGGGCAAAGTCATCATGACTTTGCCCAATCATGGCTCTTACAAAGTACTGGGCCATGATTGGTCAAAGTCTGGCACCTGACCTGTGGTCAGGTGCCAGCCTTTAACCAATTAGGGCTTCACAAGGCACATTGCCTTGTGGGGTGTTCAGCGGTCGAACAGCCTGCCGAACACCCTTATAGTTTGTGTGTTTGGCGAACACACCAACTGCCGATGTTCGACTTGAACATCGAGCCGTTGCCTACTCAGAATCTACAGAGCAAACATATGTTGGAATCTTAGAGAAAACTTATTAAATACCTAATTATGTGGATAGTTTTTCTTTCAACATAATTGATCTAGATGATAGAATGTATTGCATGTTATAGTAACTAAAGAAAGAGCATTGTATCACCGTGTTTTATTCCCTTGAGCACACCGAGCTTCTTCTTGGAAAAGTGCAATAAGGTATAAAAATGTAAATATTCTAACCAAGAATGATATATACTTATGCAGCAATGAGCTAAAATGATTTTCCATCATTTGCGCATTAATCCTTGTTTTTTTATTTTTATTTGAAGCACTTAAATCCTATACCATTACAATCAAGATAAAAACAAATCAGCTGGAGGATTTCTGACATTTTATGTTTATGATAATCCCTCTTCTATATTGCTGTAATTTTACTGGCAATAATTCCTACATGAAACCTGACAATGAAAGAAAAGTAATGTGCAGTCAACAACATAAGACTAAAGTAGTGCTGGACCAAAGGGAAATTTATAGGGGACATCTTAAATTAGTGGGAAATCATTGCAGTGACTTAGAAAGGCTGGCTGGCTCTCAGCCATATTTGTATTAAATGAGAATGTTTCATTATTGGGAAAAATATATTTCCTGGTAGCAGTTTCCGAGGAATATTGTTCAATTTAGGCTTTTTTTTACAAATTGGCATTTTACCCGGGAGTGCAAAAGCATTAAAAAAACTTTATTTTAATTTGTTGGTGACATAGAAATGAATAAATTGAGATTGTTACATTTGTAATTTATAGGTTTGTTGATTTAGACTATTAAGTCACCAATACGGTTTTAAAAAAAAACAGACTTTTCAGACTTAAAGGGTCAGTTATATATTTCAGATATAGGTAGGTTATTGTTTGTATGTGTTGCTAATTCTAATGGAGCTCTCTGATTGGAACTTGTAAGATCCACACAACTTGCATGGCTATTTTCCTTACTGGGCCTTTTAATGTATTTTATCCAAAATGTTTTGAATAGAGCAAGGAATGGTAAAAGCCCACGTCATTTTTTTTTATTGCTGCCTTTCTCGCCAGTTGGGAGATTTGCCCTCTCTATTTATCCTGGTGACTTTTTTTTTTTACAAGGACAGAAAGTGGTGGGAAATCAAAAATATTACAGTTATTACTGGGACGTGAGGTGAAAGTTTCTGTTGACTCATGAGAATAGTATGGGGGCTGCCATTACTGACCTCTCCTTAGAGAATGTTAGTTCACCTGAACTAATGAACACTAAGAGGGTTATTCACTAAAGAGCCGAAGGATCCAGGCGTAGCTTCGGCTAATCCTTCGACTTGCTTCGGCCGCTGGAGCCCTTCGGTTCAGTCGAACCAAAGGGCTGCTGTACGGGCTATTCACTATAGCCTGTACAGTAGCCGAGCCAAACGCATATACTTCGGCTCGGCTGAGCCATAGTGACAGCCGGAGTGTGGAGAAAGTGACAATTGGGCGGAGCCAGCCGTGCTCCACCTAGTTGTTGTCCTTCAATGACGGCCCAGTGTCCTCGTTACACGGCTGGCTCCGCCCATTTGTTTTGATCCATCCGGGACCTGCGGGCAGACTGGCAGGTGCCAGACAAATGTAAAAAGTTGGGCGGAGCTAGCGGTGATGTCACCGCTAGCTCTGGCCAATTGTTTATATTTTGCCAGCATCTGTCAGAATGTCATTCTGCGGTGGGAGTTCATTGCGTACGGATGGGTTGGCGGACGTCATTTTTAAAAATTGATTACTTTTTATTTATTTATTATTTTTAATTTTAATTTCCCTGTGTCAGAGTACAAGCACCCCTTACTCATTCACAAGGGGGGGGGGACGGCATCTGGGTGAATGTGATGTGAATAAGCCCCCCTACTCGCACCTCCACAACCAACGCCCCAGGTCTTGTGGGGAAGAGGACCTTGTCCCCATCAGCATGCGGGCAAGGTGCTTTTTCAGGGCGGACCCTGGAAAAGCACCTTCCCAGTGCCGAGGGCAGGTGGCCAGTTATGGCACGGCGTGGGGGCACTCCCCCCATTTCCAGCCATGACAGGCCTGTGCTTGGAACAAGGGTCTGGTTGCGAATTTTAGGGGGACCCCACGTTCCCCCCATTTTGGGGGGTGCGGTTCCTCCTTAAAATTCCTTCCAGACCTTAAGGGCCCGGTATGACTTGTTTCTTATTTTCTTTGTAAATGGGGTCCCTCCTAACTTTCCTACCAGACCTAAAGGGTCTGGTATTGTTTTGTTCTTTAACGTTTTTTTATTATTTTCTTAACTTTCTCATTTGTTAATCCTTTTTCTATTGTGCTTGCTACCTTGGAGGTAGCAAGCAGAATAGCCGAGCCGAATGCCGCTTACTGGCATTCGGCTATTTACTCACTGCCGTTCAGCCCCTATGAGAATAGGGTCGAACGGCAGTGAGAGAACTGCTGGAGCTTCGGCTCAGCTGATCCAGCTGTCATTTGCAATGTTTTTGCCCCGCTTTGGGTTTCACTTCGGCCAGCTTCAGGAGCTGTACGGGCTATAGTGAATAGCCCGTACAGGAGCCCTTCAGTTCTACTGAACCGAAGGGCTCCGGGGGCCGAAGCTAGCCGAAGGATCAGCCGGAGCTACTGCTAGATGCTTCGGCTAGCTTTGTGAATAACCCTCTCAGTCATAAGCATTTCTTAGTAAAGTCAACAGAGCATGCATGGAGAAATTATTTGAGGTGTAGGTGAATGAGGTCGAGTCATTATTTTATAATAGTCCTAACAGTAGCTTGTGGTCAGTTATAGGAAAATATCTGCCATTTAGCAGACCCAGCAAATGCTGTAGGGGCCAAGACACATTGGGGGTCCAGAACTGACTGGCTACTAGTGATATGGGTAAGCACAGCTTACAATGTGACCTAGAACAGTGCCAATACCATATATAAGCATCAAACATAACGTTGAGGGCTTCTCTAAATCATAATGCACAAACACACTGTGTAAGGACAAAAGATTATGGAGCTGCTCAGCAACAGTGGCTTTGTCTTTCAGGGAAGAACAGCAAGAATGTACAAGGTCTAGGACAGCCTCTTCTTTAATCTTGGCAGCTCTTTTTTTTCTTGGCAGCAAGAGCTTAAAGCAGTATTAAACTCTCAAACTTTTTTTCACTAAGGAAGCCAGATCAAACAAATACACATTGCCCAGCAGTATTGCTTTACATTTTTGTTTAAACACTTACAGTGATCATGTTTATGAACAGCTGATTCCAAGTCTCACAGCTCAGCTTCCCTGAACTTCCTGCCCCTTACAAGATCACAAAGGACAGCAGACTCCAGCAACTGTTCATATACCAACTTGGAGAAGGGAAGAGTTTATAATGGAGCTTATATTTCTCCGCATAGATCGTATCTTATAGTACTTAGTTGTTCTTCTAGATTTCTGAACTATTAGATGTCTGAACTAGGGCAGGAACTAGCAGACTTATATCATGCTTTTTGGAGCTGCCCTAAGATAAAGTCCTTTTGGAATGATATTGCCCAGTATACCCGGCAAACTTTGGTTAACTATTTACCTCTGTCTGCAGCTTGGGCGATTGTTAGAATTCTAGATTTGCAAGGAGTGAGAATCACTCCTGGATGTAGAAAGTTATTGTTTAATATATCTTTGGTGGGGAAGAAAGCGGTCCTGCATCAAAGGATATATTCTGAACCACCTTCTTTAACTCTTTCTGAGCAAGTTGAGGTTCATATTTCAAAATGATTGGACTGAGACAATGTTCAGTAAGGATACCCAAACCCAAAAATGTTTTGATGTATGGGAATCATTTATTGACTCTTTACCTATTACAAAAAAATATG